AGGTTGATATAAAATTTTTTTTATGTAACATAATAAATGCATGACTTTCTATGGGGGCGAAAAATCGATTACTATTAATTATTATTACTATGAAATTTAAAAAATTTGTCCGGATCGGCATTAATTAAATCCTTTCCTTAACTGGTGGATCACGAATTAATTGCTTATAATACTAAAACAAAAAAAAAATTATCTCATTTTAAAAAATTTAACCGTCAAGTTTTATTGTTCATGACTCAAGCTTCAAAACTTATCAACTGGTTTTTTCTTAAACTAAAAATTGGCTGAACCTTAGCATTTTGAAAATTCCGAATTTTGTTATGCACTTAAGAAATTGAGACCAAGTAAAATTTCGTGTGACAACTTCTTTTTTCATAGAATATTTTCTACAACATACGTTTAATTTATTTGATTTTTTTTTTTATTAATAAATAAAAGTTATTTACAACAAAAAAGTTTAACGAACCATAAATTATAAATTTCAGTTCAGAAAACCATCATCATATTTTTTTGTAAGTAATCAACAAACAATACATTACTAACAAATTTACATTCTTCCAATTAAAAAAAGGCCAAGATGAAATAAGCAAACTCCGCATTTAAAACAAATCAGATAATGAATAAAATTTAGAATATGCATCAAGTGAAAAAGACTCAGATAAAGAAATCGACTATATGGATTATTTGAATTGTTCATTTAATTTGTTTATTCAAATTGTTCATTTTACTTGAATTATTCGTTTATTTGAGTGCTCTGTACTTTTATTCTTGAATTTTATTGGCTGGAGTGTTAAAAGTCCAATTCCAATGCACATAAACCATTGGCCTGTGACTTCCAATCCTAATGAAGCATCCCATGTACATCACTGATTTTGGTTTCACAGAAAATGTCCCCAAAATTTGATAGTGTCCTGTTTATTTTCATTTTAATATTTATTTTTCTTTGAAATAAAAAGTATTCAATTAAGTACAACTAATTGAAATGAAATAACAAAGGTCAAAAGAATTTTTCTTAATTAAAATTTTTTATCTATATATATTATTAACTCTATTGGCAATTTAAAGACTCATTTATGACTTGTTTTTGGTGATGGATCATTCAGAATACTGCATTTTATGCAATGAGTTCTTTTCCAAAATTATAAAAACTACATACTATACCCAATCATCAGGTTTCATACTATTATTTGAATTTATAGTAGTAATTGTAGAGTTATTATTATGACTATGATTATTATGACTATTATTGTTATTGTTATTATCATTAGCAACATCATTAACAATATCATCATTATCATCATTATCATCATTATCATCATCATTATTATTAGTCAAAGAGGCAGACTTGGCAAAACTACAATGAACACAATGGAGGCGAGATGCAAAATTGTGAGAATTACAAGATGGACAATACCAATCACCAGGTCTAAATTGGTTAGAATTTGGTAATAATAAACCATGATTAATACCAACATTGTTAATATTAGATGAGGATGAAGATGAAGAAGAAGAAGATGATGATAAAATTGTTGATGCCATTGTTGTTGATGATGATGTTGGTGGTGTTGCTATTGTTGATACGGAATTTGGTGTTGCTATATAAGTTATTGCATCATCTGCTTCTTGATCTGTTGATAAATTGGCATAGTTGTCTAGTATTATAACATTTGAAGACCCACATCTCATACATTGAATTCTTGAAGCGAAATTTCGAAAAAGACAATTTAAATTTTGACAAATCCAATAACCATTTCTAAACATTGTAATTGGTGAGGATGCTGTAGATGAGGATGTTGAAGATGATAATGTTGAAGGTGATGGTACTGGTTGAGCATCATTATCATCATCATCATCATCATTATTATTTGTGTTGTTGTTGTTGATGTCATCTTCATCATTATTAATATTGTTGTTGTTGTTGTTAATGTCATCTTTATGATTATTAATATTGTTGATGTTGTTATTAATGTCATCTTCATCATTATTAATATTGATGTTATTATTGCTGTTGTTGTCATTGATGTTATTTTCATTATTATTAATATTGTTGTTGATGTTGCTGCCATCCTTGTCATTATTAATATTGTTGTTGATGTTGTTATTGATGTTGCTGTAGCCATTGTTGTTGTTACTGTAGTTGTTGTTGATGCTATCATTATCATTATCATTACCATCATCACCATCACCACCATCATCATTGTTGTTGTTGTTAATGTTGATGTTGTTGATGTTATTTTTGTCTTTATTATTATTGTTATTGTTGTTGTTGTTATGTTTGTTGTTGTTGCTGCTGCTATTGGTGTCAATGATGTTGTCTCCATCATCATTGTTGCTGCCATTGCTGTTGACAATACTGTTTTCATCTTCAACCTCATTATCATTATTGTTATTATTGCTATTGTCATCAAGAGGAGTAGTGGTAATTTCATTAGGTTTATTAACACCACATTTTAAACATTGTTCATGGACTGGAAAATTACCATAATTGCATTGAATGTCAGGACAAACCCATTCATCAGAATTAAAATTGAGTTGTGATAATTGTGGTGTAGAGGGAGAATTGTTGTTTTTATCATTAACATCAATGATTGTATCAGTAGTGATGGCTGTGGATTCATAAGAATTAATTTTTACACTTGATGTGGCATATACAATTGCGTTACATCTAAAACAAGTTTTCCTTGAAGCAAAATTATGAAATTGACAAGATGAACATGACCAATCACCTGGACGAATACGGTTTTTATTCACCTTATGAAAAGGGAAAAAAGATATAAATATTTAAATTTGTAAATAATATATGTATGTATATTTTAAAATAAAATACCGGAAATGATGATAATATTGCTCCTATAGCCTCTATTACCCTGTCACTACTTGGGTTAACTTCAATTATTCTATCACATAAAACCTTGCCATTCATTTCTAAACCAATCTTGGCATCTTCATGAGTAGAAAATATAGCAAAACCCGAACCACTTGGTTTCTGATAAACATCTGGAAATTTAATTGTCAATAATGCAATAGGTGTTATATCTTGAATTGAAAACCAAGATTCTAATTCAGTTTGAGTAACATCATAAGGCAAGCCTGCTAAATGGATTACTTTGGATTGTTCTTTTCTAAATTGACTAAAATCAGCCTCAGCATCAATTGGATTAACAAAAACATCAGAATGTGCTAAAGAACATATATATCTAATAATATTGACCATAGTTAAAGAATCATTTAATGTTGAATGATCTGACTCACTTGAATTCAAATTGAAAACTGAACATATTTCTTGTAATGAATAACTTTTCAATATAATGTCAGGATGATGAGCCTGCCATCGTTGAACTTCTTGTTTTAGATCAAATAGTTTACAATATGACAAATAGAATGGTAAATCGATGTTTTTTTCTTTTGCCTCTTTAGGCAATTGAATTCTAAGATCCCAAGCACCATGTGTGCAAAAACAAAAGGTTTTATTAAAATTGATTATGTAAGTTTGGATATAATTGTCTAATTTGTTAATTGCTTCGTTTAAAGACCCGGCGTTTTCCAACTTGTCCCATGTGATTTTTGTAAGTGCGATGCAAAAATCTGTCAAAGGAGTAAATAATGGTTTTACATATTGTGAATGTTGATATACCTAATCAATCAATCAATTATTTTTTTGTTAACAACTTTAATTTATATTATATACATATTTCAATGAATAGAGAAGAAACAATCACAGACCACTTCCAAGTTACTTGTATCAACTACTACCCAGGCAAATTCAATAATTTCAGCCGTTTCCTAATTTGTTATTTTTTTTTAACAACAGTATTTAATTTATTAAATCGTAATGTAAGTTAACTTTCAAGTGTAAAAGAAATCGGTAAAAAGAATAATTCAATAAACAATATAGAGTACAATTTTCATCCTTAAAGGCATTAATTTATTTAACCTCTAGGGAAAAAGAATTTGTCAGTAAAGTATACCTTTGTAACTTGTATGTCTTGTAGATCTTGTAAATTATCATCACAAGTAGCTTCTAAAAAAATCACTATAAGATAATCAAAACCAGAAAAGCGCGTGTTTTCAACTAACGGCATATTGTTATATGTCAATTAAGTAAAAAAACTTTTTTTTAATTCCTGTAGATCGCTAAATACAGAGAATCAGGTGACTTTCCTAACAGGCTTTAGCCCATATAATATAAATTTATGATGAATGAATTGATTATTACTATTACTAACGAATTAATTTTTATTAGCAGATAATTTTGTTTAGTGGTTTAAAAGAAAATTTTTATTTATTTTATTTAGTTGAAACTAAATTTATTTCCAAGTTAAAATTTATTACAAAGTTATCTAATTCAAGCCTCTCTCTTACATACGATCTAGTCCTTATTATTATTCTGCACTTTGATTACAATTAATGATGTGGCCGAAATTATTTTAGAAATCCAAAATAGTTTCGTCCAAAGACATCAGGAGTTTAGAATCACTGTTAAATGAACAAGCTTTTAGAAAACAATGAAAATTTAACATTGGGTGATTATATAAATTTTAATTATTTAAACTATCTATTAAATTAATTTTTATTTATCAACAATTTGCTAAAAAAATTGTTTGCTATTACACCATATGCAAGCTTCTTGAGAAAGGATTTGGTCATCTTGTGGATGGCTATATGAAAAAAAAGGACAATTTAAGTACTGAGTGTGCTGAATCAATGGTAAAAATTCATAGTTATTATGACTCAAATTGCAAGAAGAATTGAAAATAGCAGAAGGAAATATTTCTGAAAATGAAACATTGGATACTTATTTGGCAGCTCAAGATGATAACAAGGAGGATAATGAGGATGATGATATAGAAACATCTTTATTAGAAGAAGAGAATAATGATATAAATGTTAATGAGGGACTTCCAGAACCTTATGTTTTAATTATTCAAAATACAATGGATTTATCTCATTATGATTTTCAAGACCTGGATGATAATGAAAATAGATTTGAGTATTTATCTGAAGAAGAAAACAATATTAGCTAATGATGAGTATGACAAAGAGGAGGAGGAATATAATTTGAACAAATTGGCATCATCATTTATGACAGCATTACTTGGTAAAAAAAATTTTTTTTATATAATTATTATTACATTATTTTTCAGTTACCTCATTGATAATTTGTTCAAGTTTGATAAAAAATTTAAAATTGTTTTGGAAATATTTTTTATAATAATAATAAAATCAAAACTAAATTTATATAGATTAATATGTTAAAGTTTCGTTATTTTGACAATTTAGGAGTTTCACCCACAATTTAGGCAATGTTTGAGTTTTACCACTAGTTTAGTGATCAGAAAGCATTTTTCTGGAAGGAGGTTTGTATGCTGTTCTCAGCTGTCTTATGAACTTAATAAAATATGGATCTTCTACAAGTTGAAAAGATAAATTACAGACAACAGCTTTGGTTAAAGCTTGATCAAATCTTTTTTATTTTTGTTATTAATTTGGTACTTTCAATAAAATCTTCTAAACCAGTTTGGTTTGATGGTCAAGTTCTTCTATTAGATTGATTTGCTGACTCATTATCATGTTTAGAAATAACTTCAAAAAGGCATATTTAACTGAGTCATTAATTGCTAGACATTCAAAAGCTAAGTGATGTTCCATCATAATAGGAGAACCCTTATTCCAATGTTTTCCAATCAGCAACATAATGACTAGAAGAAATTTTTATTCCTTTATTAAAGTAGTTCCATACTACAGCATGTGGGTGTCCACCTTTTTTTCTTTGTGTATCTATTTTATTATTTAATAGTATTAGATTAGAGAAAGTGATAAAAAAGAGTGTGAAAAAGGTAGATGAGGCGAAAGAGAAGTTTGTTGAGTATTGGAACTTGAAGAATCAGATGTAATTGGGTTCAACATCTGTGAAAATATGGCAAGAAAAAAAAATATAATAATGTAGAAAGATAATTAATTAATTTTCCGCAATCAGTCCATTTATCACAGAGATGACAATTAGGAATTCAAGTCTCAAACATTGTTCAGATGGACAAGAGAAAAAAAGGAATTTGTTTTTTAAATCATATTTGTATTAATTAGGGCATGCTGTAACAAAACCCACCATATGCGAATGATTCCGAAAGGCCACACCTATATCCCTGTGAACATAGGGATACAGCTTTTACCTTCATAATCACATACAAGGGATATCCTTATATGCTGATCACTGGTAATTAATTAATATATAATAAATAAAGGAGTCAGAGACATTTACAGTCTCTGGAGAAAGTAATGGCAGTGATAATTTTTTTAAAAAATAAACATTGGGTTACCTAATATGGATAGCATGGTGGAAGTTTGATTTTATTGGATATGAAATGTGACAAAATAAAATTTAGGTTTTTACCAAATTTAGAAAAG